TACTTTGGCAACTTTGGCTTTTGAATTTTTTGCAAGTGATGTTTGGTATGGACCGTCATTTTCAGCGTTTGCTTTTTCTTGTACAGTAATTCCTATCGCTAGTTTTATTGCAAGGTAAGCTAGTTCCTGTTCCATAAGGAGAGATATTGTTTCGCTTTCCTGAATTTCCTTTCCCGTAGACACCGCTAATTAATTTGTTTTGTTGTTTTCATTCTCGATAGGATGTTTACCGTAATTTTGTTTTAGTTTTTCTGAAGTGATCGCCGCCATTTGCCGAACTCGTTCGATTCCTGGAATTGCCGTTTACTCCGAGTTTCTCGACGCTTAAAAACGCGTTTCATGTACCATGTGTCCCAAACAAATTTTGATCGTGATGATGTAAAGAATTCAGATAGAGGGATAATGGGGCGGGGAAATGCTGATCGCTTTGTTTTTGAGACAATTAACATCCGTTCGGGACTGATAGGAAAAAAGACACTAGCAAATAGAAAATTTTAACATCGCGATTTTGAAAGCTAATCCGCCATTGTGGGCGTTCAAAATTATGAAGAAACTAAAGGGGGATTAGTCCGATTAAAAAAATTGCTAATTAAGCTTTGGGCAGCGCAGCTGCTAGAAATAAGCCGACGTTTCGGGGTTGGTTTTTTTGCGTTCGGGGTTTTCAATGATAACCGAGTGTTAGTAAGCAAAAAAGACGTTTGTGAAGATTTATCGGTTTTTTTAAAAAATAGAAGTGTCGAACGAGACCTTAAACCAAACGTTACGTGTTTTCGGATATCACGGAAATCCAGTACCACCAAAGTGAAACCTAGGCAAAGTAGCTACATCGCTTTAAAATTTCCAAAGAGAATTAAGCAAATAGACATGAAACTAGTATTGTTTGGGCGAAAAACGATACGTCAAATAAAAGAGTTCGAGATAAAGATTTTTATTTTATTCGGTGAAAGACGAAAAATATAATTTATAATTTTGTATGTGATATTACGATCTATCCGATCGCATATTGAAACTTCCGGCATCATGCATTCGTAGTAAGACTTACAGCGATGCGATTTCGGGAGGTCAGCAACATTGCTTCCTAAAAACTAAATACTTCTAAAGCATGCGAAACGGAAAGATCTCCAGTGGACGTTGAAGCCGATGGTACCATTAGGGAAGCTGAACAAGACGCTGCAACGTAATCTCTTTTCATTTAGCATTGATTAAATTAGAATAATGCATGACTTGTTTATGATTAACCTCGTCACTCTAAAGGTGGAAATTTATACCATACCCAGGACCATACCATTGTTGATAAAGTGAAATAAAATAGTTAATGCTGCAAAAGTTAATATGAGATACCTGGCTAACTTAACCATGCTCTAGCATATACGACTTTATTGTTGTTAAACAAAGTTACGCTTTTATCCTGGCATCTCTTTCTAATTTTTTAATAATTCACTTTCTTATTTCACTTAATGAACACCAGGCACCCGTATTAGTATTCGCATATCTGCCTTTAGGGAGAAGGGGTTAATCCCAAACAAAACAACACTACAATTTTTCCAAATAAGTTTTGTATGTTACCCACAATTATAACCATAGCGCGTTCGCATCTCCAGATGCAGTATGGTGCCTATGGACATACAGTACATGCTTGCCAAACTTATTAACAAACGTGACAATGACAGCACAAGGGGATTATGTCGTTTTTTAACACTTCCATTCAATCATATGTCATGGTCACTCGCGACCAGTGAACTATATACTCGTAACTGGAAGGGAAACAAGCATATTATGAAGCCAGACGAGTGGTGGTTTCTTTATCTTTCTCACACTAGTAACAATAAATTCATTAACATTTCTATTTTACTTTTCTGCTTCTATCAGGCGAGACAAACCACAACGCAAAAACTTAAACTGGAGGACTAGCAGTGGTACAGACGGACAGAGTGTGACGCGTTCATTTTCCTTTTGGAAAATTCGCTAAAAATAGGAGCGCAGTTTGATAAGTTAGTGAGTTTTCTCAAGTCCCCCAGAATAGGCGGTTGTTTCAGTGATGACCTCTCCATTCGACCCAAATCTCTTACCGCCCAACCATTTCTTCAGGTTTGCAAATAGTAAATAATCGGAAGGAGCTAAATTTTTGTTTTTGTTTACATTTTTATTATATTTAACGTAGAAATTTCTGGGAATTTTGTTTGGTCTTTATCTGTTATCAAATGTAAATGCTTAATTTAATTGACAGGTGGATGTGATTTATCGCCTTTTCTGTGTAGGTAAGAGATGACATTTTATTTTTTCTAGAAATTAAGTTTGTATTTATTTCTTAATGGCTGATAAGAAATTGATTTATAAAAATTATTCGACCTCTATTTTTTGGTCTACTAACTTTGACTACTAACTAGTCTTTGTTGTCAACTGTGTTGTTGTGTGTTGTAATTTTGATTTTCGGAAGAAGGGTTTTCGCCTTAAATAGGACATCAAGAAAAAAAGCGTCGCCTTTTGCCACGTTGAGAGTGGAACTAGGTTCCGTTGAAGTTTTTAAAATCGGCTTTACGCCACATTTAGGGTCAAAGTGCGGCCAATTTAATTCAGCTCGCTTCTTGCGAGTTTCATTGTTGATTTACGGCCAGTTAGTACTCAATTGATGCCGCAGCCAGCATTGAAAGTTTCGCCTAATGTGAGTTTAAAGTTCGTAGAAGTTCCGTTTGCGTAGCCGGAAGCCGAATTCGCGGCTAGCTTTTGTTCTACGTTTTGAAGTTTTGGTCAGTGGTAAAGTTGGTCAAGTGTGTTAATTGAAAATTGTAATTTTTAGTGAACTGTGGATAGTCCAGTCAAATTAGACGTAAAAATGCTAAATGGTTACAAAAGGTCCAGTAGAAGATTTTATTTTTCAAACTTGTTTAAATAGTAAAGAGAGAGAAAAATCCAAGTTTGCCACAGCGACTGACGTTGGGAGAAATTTCTGTAGTCAAAAATCTGCAAAAATTTCTGACTTTTTTCGGTTTTTTGCGCCTAGCACCTAGTATATTGCAGCACACAAAATTATTTCATTCGAATGTCGAATATACCATCAAGGAACAAAGTTTCTGTTTAAACAATGAAATGTACCTATAGTTTCTTTTGTATTTTTTCCCGTAGAATCGAATGCTCAAATCATTTTTTGACAAATTTCCAAAATTTAAACAAATTATCAACATTTACTAGAAAATTCAATGTTACTGAAGTCGTTTCTTCAGTTTTTCCGTTTCTTAAGTTTCTTCTTCAATAGGGACTATAATTTTTTTATTTCATCAAAAAGTACCTATAGATAAAAACAAAAAAAATGATACCAAATAGAACTCCCTACGATAAATGTCTGAAGGACGATTTACATTTGAAGAAAAGCTTTTTGCCGTAAAAAACGAATATTTCGGAAACCTCTTAATTTTTTATATTCGAAAAATTTGTAGTTATTTCAATTATAAAATAGTATATTTCAAGTCTGGTTAAAAGAAAATCATTTTTGTGGAAATGAACAATAAAAAACAAAAAACACGGCTTTCCGCGATTTTTTCGGTTACTTTGAGGTTATGTGAGAAAGTGTATTTGTTGTACACCATTTTAAGATATGCACTTGACAAAGCTTCATTAACAATTTCCTTTTGTACAAAGTCCAATTTGCCTGCACTAATATTAGTACACGGAATGTTTTCTGTTTCTGTCACTTCTTTTAATAGTTGTTCGAACGCATGATCCAGTTTTAGGTAATTCATGTGGCTGCCCTATATTTTAGGAGCTGGTGAATGTTTTGAGTTCCCTCCGCCCCCCGTCCCCCCCCACGCTACGCCACTGGTTCCACTTCATTGTTCCGGAAAAATTTTAACTAACTTTCCCACACTATTTACAAGCAGCAACTACACCGAAACTATATCAATTTGACAGTCTAGACAGACAGGCAAGTCGGCTACTAAACTAGCCAGGTCCTCAACTTTACTTGCCGCTTGCGGACATGTGGCAAGTGACTAGCAAGTGCACTTTCCGCTCATCTACACTTGACAAGTTTACTGGCCGAAAGTACTATCCGCCAGTAAACTTGCCAAATGTAAATCAGGCTACTTTAACAGTATAAATTTGTTACATATTCGACATTCTCTTGTTTCAATCAGAACCTTCAGGAACCAAAGACGGAGAAGTTCAAAGACAGATTTATTGTTTTTTTAACATAATTAAATTCTAATTTAAATATCAGTTCAGATTATTATTTATGATCTCGAAAAATTCTAATACCGTCACGTTTTACTCACCTTAAGGGTGTGAGGTGCACTTACTGAATTTCAGGATAAGAAAATAAGATAAAAGCCGATAGTTCCATTACATTTTCGCGCATAAGGGAGGATGCTTGAAAGCTTACCATTACACTGACCTGAACCGGAGTCAGATAACTGTAATCGCGCAAAGGACTAATCTTTTTCGAAGGGAAATTGTATTAGAATTTCATTGAAATAACAACTGAAACGAAACCTAAAATGCTAACTAACTTAACATAAAAGTGTGTCGTTTCTGAGCTCTTCCTAATTCCATTTAAAAGTCACGCGCGGACGTCTTTAGAGCGTATTTAATGGCAGACCCGAAATGGCCCTATGATATTGCTTCAGAAGACACACTTTACACAAAAGGGTTAACCCGCAATAATAAGATTAAAGCGCCCCAACCGTCAAAGGACTACTGTAACTATTGCTTTTCCATCGCAATAAGCTGTTATTCTTCAATATAGATTGTCTTCGAAATAAATTGCAACCGATTTAGGTAAGAAATTCATGAATTCCGCTCAATTTAAATTCAAATCCAGTAACGTCATTGAAATACCAGTGGCTATAAAATTTAAGAGTCAAATTTAATAGGAAGGGCCGAGCGGAACAAATCTCTTATGCGCCCTACATTTTTTTCCTACACGCATAATAGATTTCGTAGACGTTAACTGTGCCAGAGGGTAGCGCTAATAAAGCATTTTGAAAAACTGTTTCTTACCTTTTTTAAATCCTTATTCGCATCTGCATCGTCTGCTTTCCGCTTTTCCGTTCCAGGCAGTTTTCCCTTATCCTTCTCCGATCCGCACACCTAAAATTAAATAAGGCGAAATTATTAACGTGGATGGTGCATGTTAACGATCTCATCGTCCAAATTATGTGCCGTCAAAATTGACTGGTAAAGTTTTCTTTTTATCGCGATAAAAGCAATATAACGAAATTGAATTCTTACAAATTCTTACGCACGCAACGGAATTAACGAAATTGCTTCAGGAACATCGCGAGGCGAAATTATTTTCGACTTCTTAGTGGAATAATTTAAAGGGCCCTGTCACCGTTAACGTGTAAATAATCTAAAAATAGACTTTATAATAATAATGCGCATTGCGGATAGGCATATATCTGTTAATAATTGCTTTCATTCGTAATATTTCTCGCAATAATCAGCACGAAACTTTTCATCGTGACGTTCGTATGGGAGAGTCATGCAATATTGATTTTCCTTGCCTAGATCCACAGACCACAATACAAACACTAATTCCATTTGAGCATGATATATTCCAAATGAGACATCGCTTCGTGTTACTTTTTAGTTTTCAGCCAAAGACAGTTTTCAGGATATGTTCATTTTGGCTTGTAATGGAAAATGTCGGAAGTGCGCGTTTTTTTATGTTAAGTAGAATGAAATTGGAAAAAGGTTTATTTTCAGAAACTCCGTTTCATGACACCGCATTAGATTCTCAGTGGCAGCGTTCCTTTGAAAGCAAATAAAATTAGAACATTCTTATTTCTCTCTAAGCCAACGCGCATTGTTTCTCAACCCATTTATATTTGAAAGCTGTTTGTTTTCTAAATCTGACAACTACACGTCGACGAAAAAATGACACTTGAAACCCAACAGTAGACCGAAAGCACGGCAAGGGTGCGCAAAAGAAACTAAGAATACACTAAAACCTCGTAATACAATTCGTAACGGGTAGCTTTGAGTGCGGGAAATTAGCAAAACACAAACGATTTCTTTGAGCACAATTAGCGTGTTGATTAGTTCCGCGTTTGAGCCGTTCCGAGTTTGTTAGCCAAACAAACCATTTGTAAATTATTGCATTTTGAAAGGTTCTGCTAACTTGGCGCAGTTTTCAATATATATTTCAAAATGATCTATGTTAATTAAACACTGTAAAAAGTAGAAGAGATTTTAGGTCAGTTGCAAGTAAACCAAAAAAAGTATGTGGGCCATGTCTGTGCTGTCATAGCATGCATAATTTAGATTTGTTTAAGATTCCGTTGAAGTTTTGGAGAAGAATTGGTCATACCGCAGATGGTTTCGTCATTGATTAGGCCAGATAGGCGCGCAAAATGATTGCATTATTTAATTTCATAGGACGTTTAAATTGAATGAAATTTGCAGATGTGTCCTTTTGTAAAATGTTTTAAAGGATTATTGTTTAGGCAGTTTATGTAAAGTGTTTTGCATTTAGGAAGTAGGAATTTTAATAACACTGTCATGGAGGAAATACTACAAGGCATCCGTGTCTTTTGCAAATACTAGATTCAAATCAAAACTACATAAAAACAAAACGAGCAGATAAAATCATATCTAACTTTTCGTACCTTGTCAATTTAAGTTTTCTTAACAGAGACGCGGAAGACTGATTTGCAAAATTTCGATTTTTTAAATACTACGATTTTTTCTCCATAACAAGAGATCGCACTGTCAATTTACTTGCACTCATTTTCCAAGAGAGTAATTTACAAGTCATAATTGTGTAACTAAATTTATTAAAGTTGGTTTGATACCAAACCCATTCATATGAATACTTAATTTTTATTAAAAAATGTTTAAATCCGCTTTCTTCATCAAGTCCATAATACAGGGTGTTTCGAAATTCGCGCACACGGACTATGGGATGGTGTTATACGACAAAAACTGAACAAAAGGTTCCTCTACCAGTTTTCCCTCAGACCGCTATTTTTCGAGCTACCGCGGTTTTAAAAATCTCCGCCGCCTCTACGTTGCGCCACTGGTTAAACTTAATAATAACACATTTTTAAAAACAAAAGAAGGTTCAAAATAAACTATAATTAAGACGAGTACGTAATTACAGTTGTACAAAATGTCCGCCGTCTGCTAGTAAACAAGCTTCAGCCTGTCGAAAAAAAAGTGCCGGTCTGATCAAAAACTGGTAGAGGAACTTTTTATTCAGTTTTCGTTGTATAACACAATCCCACAGTCCGTGTGCGCGAATTTCGAAACACCCTGTATATCGGTTTATCTATCATCGCACACCCTTTAAATAAAACCTAGTCCCGTCACTGTACATCACATAACTACCTCGAGGATTTCAAGTGAGGTACAGCAATTAACCTACTTTAGAAGACAAAACGACCATATGGTGTATACTGAGATTTTAGTTCATAAAAGTTTAGGAAATTTCAAGTTAATTCAAAGGTTCACAGTCACCCGAATTTTGAAAAAAATGAAACACATCCATGGCCGTATCTTAACATTTTGTCACTGAATCATGGACTGTAACACCTGGATTTATAAATACCATGCACACAAATGGCAGAAGAGGGATGTCTTATGGTGGATTTATACAATCATTATTATTAGTTCACTGCCATTAAGAAATATCCAATAGAAACAAAGGTATAGTTTCGTTGGTAAGCGACGCACAATAAACCTTTGTTTCTATTGGCTAGTTTGTCCGTCCGTCTGTTTATCTATCTACTTTTTACTATTAACTTTTTGCAGTACTACTCTAAAGGTTTGATACAGGTTTGTATATAGTACTGAAAGTTGTAGGGAGAGGGAGTACAAAGATAATTTGATCACAAATGTATTGTCCGAATGCAAGTTTTTCAGTTGCATAAATTGCACTCTCCAACCTTCTTCCATCAAACTTTACAATTAAACAAGACTGACTGTCTTCAAAAAAATTCGAAAACAGCAAAACTGCAAAGCACACAAATCAATAAGCAGCTATGTTTCAAACGTCCGCTAAACCAAAGAGCCACAATTAACCTCCGAATCGCTTATTTAAAACCATTTCCATTTGTTAGTTCCGTTCCTCCTACTGCTTTATCAAAATTACCACGTTGTCAAATAACTAACCTCTGTTTTTACGTCGGCGAAAAACAACGATAACGAAACTTCTTATCAACGACCAGAGATAACAAGAGATAAACTTTTACAAAACATTGCAGGCAAATCAATCTGAATAATAAAATAAGTTAATTAAAAGATGAACAAAATTACACATCAGTATATAAATAATTCTAAATGAAATCAACAGTTACTTCAAACTTGAATAACACGATAGAAATGTCAACATTTAACGTTAAAAATAATTGAAATGCATAAAAATGCTAGGTGCAATAGCAAAAGGTCACTAAAGCACCCATAAGCTGTCCAGCTAGCTCAATGAAACACAGGACTCCCATCTCCAAAATGTCACATTTCGCACTCATATAGTGCGCGAAGCGTCATTTTAAATACGACTACTCATTAGGTAAATGAAATCAACAGTGAGGCTTGCGCCCAATCACAGAGTGACCCGCATAATGCTTTTTAGAGGTGCCTCTGCAGAAGGTCTGAAGTTGTTCTCTACTACTCTGGTATTTACCTTACGAATTAGTAAAACTGCAGGAAAACCTAATTCGGAGTAGTCGGCAGAATGCTCGAAACTGGTCCAAGGTAATTAATTCCCATATCTGCCACAGATGAAAAATTCACCTCAAACCCAGGTTCGAACACCCAACCTCCGGATTTATAGCCCAACGCTCTACCACTGAACCATAAAGCCGGTCAGATGTCTAAAATTTCATGTATAATTAGAATTTGGAACCAAATACAGAGTGTTCCATTTAAAAAATGTAACTTTAAACATTCAAAATATTTTTAAAATATGCAGAATATTATACAAAAGCACCAATCCTTCCTTGCGACCATAATTCAGAGCTATCGTTGACTCGCCCTGTACAGGGTGGTTCAAATTCGTGGCTCACCATTGGGATCTCCGTAACCGTGAGAAATACAGTGTAGTATGTTAAATGGGGGCAAAGTTTTTCCTTTTTGTGACTAAAAACGCATTTGAAATTTGAAAATAACTAAGAAAAACTCAAAATGTCCAATTTCTTTTTCATTTTCGGAAATGAACAGTTCCCGTTAGCACTTTTTCTCGGAGAATCTGAATCTGTTATCAGAATTCCCATAACACGCTAGATGTAAAAGCTACAGGCTACTACTTTCTCATTTCTTATGGACGCTACATTGTATTTTTACGGAAGATCAAGGAACTCGAAGATACTAAAACCTAAGGATTCCAAAAACCATAAGCACCATACGAATACACCCTCAATCAATATATTTAAGACTCTACAAACGCGGCAACAACAGAGTCGCACTGCTTCATTATGGCCTCTCCGGAAAACTTTATGATGGATCCCCACGAAGTAAATATCTGAAAAACTGTAGGAATAGTTACGGTACGGACAGACAGGCGAACAGAGAAAGTTTCTGCAAGCCATAAAGAGCCTTTAAAACAGTCCCTAAAAACCGCAAAAAGTCTCCTAAGAGGTTTCCAGAACTTTTTGGCAGTCCTTGAGGGTCTGATTAGTCTTTTAGGCTCGAACCTTAAGTGGTTAACGTTTGAGGGTTTAAAATCCCAGATATTAGAGCTCGTACAGCCTGGAAATGTTTCCAAGTACTTTTAAGAGTCTATAAAAGTTGCCCATATTCTCAAAAGATCCGAAAATAATCTCCAAGAGTAGCCAAGAATCTTGAGCGTTTTCAAGAGCCATTAACAGCTGTAATCTGTATTTAAGGAATTTACCTTTAAAAGAATTTAAGAGTAGGTTTTTTTAGGATACCTAGGATTCTATTAGGCTATTAGGGTGTCAAAGATCTCCTCAAGTTTCCAAAAGCCGTCTGGTTTTTTTACGAATTGAACAGTTTTTAGAGACGTTTAATGGTTTCTCAAAATATATAACGAACTAAAGTCTAGTGCTTTTGTGATGCGTCTCTGTCTCTTTAAAAACATTTCGAGTCCTCAAGAGCCTGCCACGCAAAGATATCTGGTTCTGTGAAAT